TTTTATGTGTCGTCGTTTCTTCATGTGGCCGTCGTGCAGTGGTCGTCAACCACATGGGATGGTCTCTGAGACAACCATCTCAGGTTTAATTGACGTGGCGCCACGTCAATTAAACCTGGCCCCACGCGACTTGGTCGTCTCTCGAAGAGATGACCAACCTACATGGTCGTCTTGACGACGACCAGCCCCACATTTTTAAAACAACACTATTATTTTTAAAAATAGTTTAATTAAAAACAATATAAAAAAAATCCCTTAAAAAATATACTATAGTACGATTTTAAAAATAATAATAATATTACTATCTTGAAATAGTACGGTATTCAAAATTTGTATGTATTTTATAGGTGAGTTTGAATAATTGTATTTATATTGTTGGATATATACAAGGTACCCTAATAGCAAGAGGTCTAATAGAATTCTGTGATGGAGCACCTCCTGTAAGTGTTAGGCTTCCAAGTTTATTTATTTAAAAGAAAATTATTTATTTTTTTGGAGAATTTTATTACAAATTTATATCTCATGGTGTTTTTTTATCTCTTTGGAAAAATTGGAACAGGTTAAGAATTTTCTCTCTCTAGCACGTCCTCATGCTGGTGTAGCAGCTATTCCTTACTGCGAAGCAGTTGTAAGAACTAAATAGCAATATAAGATCAAATAATTTTGAAATAACAATAATAATAACAAAAAACAAAAAAAAAACAAAAAATGTTATCAAATAAATCTTCATGTTTAAGTGTATTTTTTTTTCTTGTTTATATTTATTTGCAAATCTTACTATTAAATGCAGTTCAAAGAATTGTGTCCAGCGGTCCAAGTATTGTTCAATGCTGCAGTTTATACAGATTTTGTCCAAGCATTGTCACATTATAGTTCTACAAAAAATAAATCTTTAAATTTTTTTAGTGTTTTAAATTAGTGACAGTTGCAAATACAACAAACATTTAGTAAAATTAGCAAAATAGCAACAACAACATTTTTTCTATTAAAAAAAACGGAGGTCCAATTTTAAAATGACAACTTTACCCACTATGTAGTGATATATATCTATGATATACTACTGTTATGAGTATCTAATATATTATTAAAATGACAACTTTACCCACTATGAGTATCCACCATGCATGTGATATACATATGATATATTACTGTTATGAGTATCTAATATATTATTGAGATACTACTGATATAAGTAAAATTTTTTGCTATATTTAAAAATTTTAAAAATAATGATATATTTTAAAATACATAAATGATTTTTGCTACGCATTGCAATTTCCCATTAAATTATGACTAAAATTTGTTATAAATAAAAGTATTATTAATGTATAGTCATTTTTGCATGGTTGATAAAAGCTTATGCATTCACACTCTTTTCTTTATGCTTGTAGGATTTTGAAACTCCTGCCACCTATTACAAAGTACCAACCGTAAGTATTACTAAAGAGAAAAAGAAAATTAGTGCCTGTTCTTTTGACAATAATATTGATCTTAGAATAAAATGTTGCTGTTAATTTTGTAAAGATTGTGAATTAACAAATTGGATTTTTTAGGAAATCGATAACTATTTGAAGATTTCTAAATTCCTTCCGAAGCTCAACAATGAACGTCCAGAGGAAAGAAACTTCACTTACAACGATCATTTTAGTAGTTTGAAACAAGTTGGTGATGCTCATGGTAAAGTACTAAAAAAAATAACAACAATAATAATAAAATCATGTTATTCTCAAACCAGAACATGAACATAATTCGAGTAGTTAGACATTTATATCTTCATTACAATTTGTAATTCGTATTCACGCCCTCTCATTTGCAATGTAATATTCAAACTACTATTTCAATCAATTTGACAAATATAATCCAAAAGTTTTATAGATAGATCTTTCTATATTTTGATAGTGTGTCCTTTTAAAGTGGATTCATGCTCTGCGCTTTTTCCTTTCCCTTTACTCGGATCTCTTCCATTTCATAGATTTTGTCGGGTTTTTTCCGCTTTTGGTTCCAAAGGAAACGGCATTGTTTGGATACTACAAGGATGGCAGCAAATGATGAAATTCTACCAGCACAAGAAGTAACCTCAAAGAAACACACTGGAAATTTTTTTTAATTTTTCTTTTTCCTTTTGAGAATAACATTGAAATCTTCTTGATAGACCCAACAAAAATATTGTTAAAAAAAAAAAAGAAGTTCAGGCCCATTGTATAACTATTCTGCTTTTTGATTTAGGTTTTTGAAAACTCTCGTTCTACCTATTAATATTCATGAGTTTTCGGAGTAGTCCTATATTATAAACTCTTGTTACGTTTCTTATGTTACCAATGAGGGAGCCGTAACACTACTCATATATGTTTTGTTATCTACTTTATAAGAACGTTTTCAAAATCTAAGCTAAATTTCGACAACAGACGAAGTTGTATAAAGATGACTGGATTGGGTTGAGGAGTTTGGACATGGTCATGCTGATTCACCTGATGAAACTTTGAGTAAATTTGCGGTGCCTTACTTGGTGGATGATGCTACAGGCTGGGCTTTAACTTTTGCAATAAGAACCAAACTCAGGCTCCCCAACAAGGCTTAAAAATAAAGTCATGTTTCTATAATGAAAGAATAATATGGATATCAATATATTATCATGTCATGGAATATTTAGTGTGTAATTAAGCCATGATGATTCTGTTTCTATTGTAGAAACAGATTTATGAATTAAATAAAAAGGTACACTCACGTGTATTGGTTTCTATTTACTACTTGATCAAGTTGATCAAGTTTACGAGGCCTGAATTCCTACTTCTAACTTTTAATAGTTTGAATTAAGTTCTTGTTTTAATATTTATTTAACTTCTTCCAAGAGGCAAAGTTGGGAGGTCTTTGGTGGGACGAGTCAAAAGGTTCTCCGAAGCTCGAGTTAGTATTGAACTAGCTCCATACTAACTCAAGCTTCGGAGAAATAAGTGGCTCACGAGGTCTCGAATGAAATATATTATATTTGATCTCGAAGTCTTCATATATCACTTCTTTCAATCCTGGATGAAGGATCGCTGGTAGGAATTGTTGGAATTAATTTAATAATTAATTCATATGTGGGTAACAAATTAAAGAGCAATTATATTTGAGCTACTTAATCGGCATACAAGTGATCTTAATTATGGGCCTATGATTTCTCATTTAGTGGTGTGGCTTGCTGAGTAGAAACCAGCCCATTAATCCCAGAGGATTATGGGAAACCGTAGGATTAACCTATAAATATATAGTTATGGTCCCCAATACACTATGCTTTTTGAGCCTCTTATTCCCCATCAAACAGAGAGTATTGACCATATTTGGTCTGAGTTGCATAGTTGAGGAAGACCACAAACTCACAACTTCTTGCACATCATGGTCAATATATCTAATGGTTTCAGGTAATTCTAATCCCTTTATACATTTTGGTTTTCTTCCTTGCTTTGGTATCAGAGCAAGTTTTGCATGGATGATTACTGGATCTTTTTTTTTAATTACTTTTAGGCATGTTGTTCTTTTAATAATATACTTGTTTAAAAAGCATGCTATTAGAATTATTTGGATTAATAAGATGTTGAACAATTTTACATGAATTTAAAATTTATAATTTTCGAAATTTGTTCGACTGTTTATGAATTACTGATTTGATCAAATTCAGTAGTTTTCGAGTTTATACATCTGTGATTATCAACTTTTGTTATTAAAAATTAATAAGAAATAGTGGTTTTGCGACACTGCTTGTCGCCAACCATGAAGGGCACTCATATTGTCGCCTACAATATTATGGCACTCCATCTATTATGAGTGCCCTTCATGGTTGGCCGAGTGAATGTTGTGTGGGCTAACCTAAAGAAATTGAGTAATATTATTATAATTATTAAATAATAATATTGTGTTTGTGCCTTTGTTGTATGTTATATTTTTATTAATAAATATAGAGGACTATTTTAGTTTTTCATCTCTGTTGTGTATTACAAATATTGATTATTATGGTGATAAATTAGCAGTTTATCAATATTTGACACAATTTTCTTATTTTTATGAATGTTTTGATTATGAAAATATTATTGTTAATTGTTGAAAGTAACTTATATATTTTGTTTTCATATGGAAACAATTAACATTAGTTAAAGAATAAATTGTGAGATTTGAATATTGTTGTTTATGCGAATTGTGATCGGCCTAAAGGAAGGTCACAATTTGGCCAAATAACAAATACACTTACAATTATGGAATTAATTATTGATATTAGATTATTGTGTGCTAGAATTAGTGCTCCATAGCCTATGTCAAATTGTTGATGAGTTAAAATATCAATAATATTTCTTTTAGGAAAATCTAGTTTTTATTTTTCTTTCCGGATTTAATAAATTGTTTAGAGGACTTTTTCCATTATTAAATTATGCATATAAAGATACTATTATTAATTTTGAAAATAATTTTGGCAGTATTATTTTCATAAAGATAAAATTAATAATAATTAAAGTTACATATGTTGCATAATTGTCTGATCCTTTTGGTTGGTGTTTAATTTGATGAATCATGCTGTCAAAGTAACCTCTTATTTCTGATATTGATATCTTTCACAATTATCAGATGTTTGTAGATATGTGTATTTATGCGCTTTGTAGTCGTCCCAAAGGAAGACTTCAGGTTGGCCAAATAATAGGTCCACATATAGTTTAATGCTAATAAACATGAATAATATAAAGTTATGGCATGTGAGTGATTGTCGTCCCAAATGAAGGCTTTCACTTGACAGGATTGGTTATCAATGTTTGATCACCATATTGAGAGTACCATTTGCAAGTTGATATTGTCGGCCCAAAGCAAAGATATCATCAATGTTGTGGTAGGTATCTTGTTGTCCTCACTGAATTTAAATATATTGTATTTTTATAAATACTTAAGGTTAATTTTGAGCATGTTTCATTATTGAATGAGTTATTGTTAAATATTAATTCATTGCCTTATTATGAATTTAAGAATTGTTTTTTGTAGATTTAAGTTGCATGAATTTTTTTAAAGTTTAAAGGAAATATTTCTACTTTTCACTGAGCAATATTCCTCTAAGGTTACATGGAATCTTGAAAAGTGGGAGAAACCTAGGGATGAGCAGATAATTAAGAAGTTCCTTAAAGAGTAAAGATTTTTCTGAAAAGAACAAAAGGAATAGAATTTAAATTTTTTATAAAGAATAAAGGAACACTAGTGAGTACACTAAATGATCAACACACACAAAATTTAAAACATTCAAGAATTTACTTATGTTTTGATACTTATTTGAGACATTATATAGTCGGTATGTAGTGGGTTATGATAATTGTACGGGTAGATATTGAACTCTAAATAACCTAATTTCTGACTGATGTTTCAAGAAAAATAGGTTAGGTAAGAAAAGATAAAATTGTACTCATTAATTGTTTATTTCCTTAAAGAAAGAAATTAAAGTTGGTACTAAAGTTTATTTGGAACATATGTCGCCTAAACCACAAAAGAATCAAGCTTGGGAATTCTCTTGATATTTTTTGAAAGTTTGAACATATAGAAAAAAATATGTTCCAAATACAATGCCACATGAGCTATAAAGAAAATTTGGCTTCTCACTTAGTGTATTTAACAAGTTAGACTTGCATATGAAAACTTATCTTATGTGTTGAATAGACTTTGGTATTTCTATTCAAATTGCTTGTTGGTTCTCAAGATTAAACAGACATTCAAGTCTGTATTAGGAATGATCAAAGGACATAACTTGAATTGTCAAATTAGGTGCTATTGAGAGTTTTAGTATTTTAGAACATTAATTTATAGCCTATTCAATATGTCTTCTTTAAATGTTTAACAACATTGCATAAAGTAATAACAAATTAAATTTATCCTCGTAAAGGGCACCGATATTTGATATAGGAAAGGTCTTTATTCTTGGATATCTTAAAAGTCATCATATATTAATTCGTAGTAAATGAAATCGTTATGAAATATGATGAATTGAGAAGATAAGGTCTAGGACATTTGCTAACTCCTTTAAGGATTAATAGAGCTAATAAGTAATATATATTTTCAGGCAAACCTGAGATGTATGTTGCTTATAAAATGATTCAAAGCTCAAAAAAGGTGTGGTAAGAAATATGACAAATCATTTTTCCTTACCCTCCTTCTATTTGGAGAAATCACTCAAGTTTGTTATAAAAAAGTTTAGTTGTCACTCTAGATACACTAGTCTTTCAATATATATAATTTCTAAAGTTAGTTCCCACTTAAAGTTAATGTGGATGAGATCTTAAAGTTTCTTAAGGATGTTGAGTTTGAGGGGAAGATACAGTAAAGAATATTGTATTTATGGGAAATTTAGTTATTTGCTCTTTATAACAATATTAGTAAAGAATAAAGATTCTCCTCATTAAAAATGTCATTAAAGTAAATAGAATAGATAGGAGAAATATGATTATAAATATTTAAGTTTGATAAAAAAGAGTATATTCTCTATCGTCAAACAAAGTCTTATCTCTTAAAAGGAAAAATGAATATCATAAAGAATGTGTTGAAACAACAAACAACGAAGATATTTTACATTTTGTTATATTGCTTTTAAAAGGCAATGTTAACAAATATAAGGTCATCTAGTTGTTAAGTTTCAATTCTTAAGGCTACATTAATTTTTCAGAGATCTTTTCTATAGCTTCCCGAAAAGTTCTTTCAAGTAAATGAAACAATACTTATAACTTTTTTTTTTTAGTTATGCGATGAATATAAAGATTGGTTTCTTAATTGTATAATTTATGAAATCAATAAGCTTGTATATTTGGGAGACTTTTGATCTAATAACACAAAGTTTCAAAAGGTTGATATTCATCTGTGATCTCAATGAAGTTTTTTTTATCTATAATTTCATAATTTTCATTACATGGTGATATTATCACATGTAATATCGGGAGGTAATAAGAGTAATAATTATGAATTACCAGTTTAGTGGGAGTATATTTATTTTCCTAGTATAATATATTTGCGACATAATAAAGGCCTTGTTAGAGGATGAAACTTGCATGAAC